ATGAAGAATTTATTTTTCTAGTTAAGTCAGCAATGTCCATGAAACTGTGTATATATATATATACATATATGTATATCAAGCCGCCACGCCTATTTATTGTTGATGCATATATATATATATATCAACGCGCCACACCTACTTATTGCGAGAAGTGTATGCATATTGTGACAACAGTAGTACTGCTAATTATCGACAGATATCTTAATTCTAAACTTTTTTACTCAGATTTATATTATCTATAAAATTAATCTCATAAGCTACTGCTTCACTTTTGTAAGAACGATGCAGTTACGTTAAATTAATCTCTTGATACAAGTATGCTTATTACGATATTTCTTTCTAAAATGAAGAAGAAAATTTGCGGGAGAACCGTCGTATCGATGCCATCGAAAAAACACAAAAGAAGATGGATAATGTAATTTCTAAAATATATTATACGTAAACAATCTATTATTATAGGAAAATGTGGAGATCGATCATTTCACGACATTGCATATTTACCGCTCATGCCGCATTTCTAGAGACTTTCAAATTGTCTTATATTATCGAGTAACAATTAATGCGAATTACCAAGAAATATAATCGCCGATGATTCAGTCATAAACGAAAGAATACATCACGAGAAGTCGTTCGCATGCTTAGCGCGCGAGTTGATATGCGATGTCAATTAGGAATAGAATGAATGCGTTCCTCGATCTCTATGGCGCCGTCGGACATGCGTATCATGACTCTATAAAAAGAATTGCGCAATATTGTTTACGCAAATTATACCGCAGAGCACCGTCGAAAGCCAAACGATTGCTAGCTACTTTAATCAAATCTTTGCCCGTTTACTTGCAGAACCCTTCTCAGATTGGCTGGAGGAAAAAATAGACCTGCCCATATTCGAACAACTACCCATTCCCGAGAACGGTCAAAATAAATCACTGCCAGTCATCTATCCGACTATCGTGAAAGCGCAGCAACAGCAGCAACATGATAATACACAAACCCTTTTGCAAGAGTTCGAAACGGTTTTGGGAGATGTCGAGGCTTGCCATCAGATCGTTCCGCCGACCTGCTCCACGCTCACTCCTCCGCAATCACCCTCTCATAAAGCGATTAATGTGGACACACAGTTGCTGGTCACTCTACAACCCGTCCAACAACCCCTGTTCACTGACAACCATTCAATATACAACATCGTTCCAGCGGAAGAACCACTGTACGTGGATGATACATCTCGTCAGTGGAGCGCCGAAGACATATCATTGAGTCCGCTCGGTGGGGATGTTGCGAACGAATTAGCGGTGGTGGACGAATATGTTCGCTCGCATACCAAGGATATACCATCACCGTCAAGTCCATGCACCAGTTCTGGTGGCAGTTGCATTTCTACTGAAGATTCCGCTGATGATCCCGATTGGAATTTTGAATCCGAAAGGAAAAGCTTGAAACAATCAGTTCACAACTCTTCAAAAAATCGCTATAAGCCTTATTCTCGACCGTCTATCGAGGATAAAAAAGTGCGAAAGAAAGAGCAGAATAAGAACGCAGCTACACGCTACAGACAAAAGAAAAAGCAGGAGATAAAAGAAATACAAGGTGAGGAGCGTGAGCTCGCGGATCATAACGATAAATTGAAAAATCAAATAAAAGATCTGCAACGGGAGATAGGATATTTGAAGGGATTGATGAGAGATTTGTTTAAGGCTAAGGGTCTTCTTAAGTAACACATTCGTCAGAAATCTCAATATTTTTTGTCATTTGTATATTTTACTTATTACTAGATATATATATTTAATTTTACTTAGATTTGTACGCGTTTTTTGGCACTAACTCTATTTTACAATCATACTAATGACGGTAACTACCGTTTCATATATTATTCGTGTGCAATTTTTTTATTTCTTAATACCTGTTAATATACATTTTATGTGCATGCATATATTGTATAATTTATATATAACCGCAGCTTTTTAAGATTTTCTATAAGTTTATCATTAGAATAAAAGAGGTATATCTCGATCTAGTAAAGAATGGTCCACCATCAACATCGACAAACGTGGTGCGTTAGATAACGCTTATAAATTGCAGGGTATGCGGGTTTATGAAGCTCTAACGACAGGAAACCTGCTGTCTATGCACATTCTACGAGTTATCTAGCATACCGCTCTCTGATGCAAATCTTTCCATTCCGATTAATTTTTATCCTCTATCGCATAATAATACTTTCGTACGACAAATTATGTAGTGAACAATAAATGGGTTCTACAAAACGAGCGACAATGTTATTTCCATAATTTAGATTTATATTTACAGACAGATAAATCATATATGTATATATGTATAGTATCCAAATTGGATTGAGAAATGACTTTCTTTATACTATCATTGACAACATATCTAATATAAACGTGTCAGATACTATAATATTGATTTTTTATTTCTAGCTCTGATAAAATCGGCGTTGAATATATATATCTCAATGGAAAATGTAAGGATATGTATTTGAAATGTATGATGTAATATAAAGCCACATGATATATCAAATGAATGGCACGTGCTTCCTGTCAAATTTATATTTTGGCTTATCGTGATCAATAATTCACAAATAAATTCTGAAACAACTTGAAAACAATATAACATCATTTTTATTAACGAAAAATGTAATTAAAAATAAAACTTACAAAATTCATAGATAAACTTTTCTTAAGGCTCAAAAAAAATAATATGCATTGAAAAATCTTTTGAGTGCATTGATTTATATTTGCATCCGACTATTTGATAAAGCAACCCCAATTATATATAAATAATATACAGCAGGTCTGGCCCCAAGAAGGATGAAAACCATTAGCCAGCATCCTTTCCCTCATTCAAAAACATATATATATATTCTTTATATGTTTATGAAAACAATGTCTCTTACTGAACGATATAACTATTTTGTTTATTTTTACTGTAATATTTATGAGTATCTTTTCTGAAGCTGTATTTTTTGTATTTTATTTAGGCATATTTCTATTTCTTTTCTCTAATCTCCGAGTTTATACTTATTTCAAGTGCAACAAACGCGTAGCTAAAACTCGTCAAAAGACAAATATATATCTCCAATCTTTGTTGCAGAATCTGAAAAAATTTTCTGAAGAAGCCTGGAACTTTTCCGACCACATAAATATCGCAGTAAAATAAAAAAATTAAAATGATAAGAAAGTTTGGCAATTCTTGTCTTAATTCTGTTGGTGACAATATTGGAGACAAACCTGTTAAATTAACAGAATAATTTCAAAGCGTTCACGACATTACACGGTAGGCTCATTATTTATATATATATATACTCTAATAAAGAAATATATTATTCACGAAAAAAAAATCTAAAAGCTGTTCGCTTCCTAGATATTTACAAGCTATTAAATAAATAAAGCTTATCTTTCTTTTTTCAGTTAAAATCTTGCATGCTAAACGCGAATCACAAATAATTTATACCGCATTTCTCGGTTTTGACGTCATCGATATCGATTGGTAGACCTTGAACAATTTCTTTCTTTGCTTTGTGGTACGAGAGAAACGTTGTATGTATATACAGCTCATAAATATTTTACAACCTTTTTTGCATAAGTCTCAAGTAAATTTTCGGATGTTTCAAACACGCTTCTGCTTCGTTAATATTGATAAATCTGAAAATAAAAAGATATACTCTCAGAGCGCGGAAAATGTTCGAAGAAACAGACATAGTATGCAACACTTTTATCTCATTATATTTTTATTTTTGACACACGAGTGCACACACACTCAAATGCATAATTACATACATGTGTATGGACGTACACATACACTGTATGTGTCTTTTATGTATTTACATACGATATTAATTAATAATACAACAAATGAGATATTCTAACAGTTTTGATGTAAAATATATATAGCGGAAACCAGCTATGCAGTAACTTATATGTATCATATAACGCATTGTGTCAGCTGAATTGTCTATATCGTATTACTTGCGAGAAATGCATCGTTTTATCGAATGTCCAAATCATCTGGCCATCTCTTTCGTTAAGCGCGTCTATTATTATATGTACAAAATACCACATATATTTATTACATAATCACATATATATATATTTTTATATCTTGATATTCATATCATATATGCCCTTTCTAGAGAATGATCCATCCTATTTGTAGCTCATTCGAGTATATAGATGGGTAAAAGTTAGTTAGTTAGTCGGTGCCCTCTAGAAAGGGCATTATTATTTGTGGTAAGAACCTGTTTTTCTCTGAGATAACATATAACTATTGTCCAAAGTTGATTATTCATATTCGTGACTTTTAATAATCTAAACTTCACTTATTAATGCATAATAGAAGTGAATATTGTGAATGTAGTTAACACGTTTTGATGCAAATTTACTTCATTGCAGATTTCAAATCCCAGAAGTATTCTCTATAGACTCTCATAATCACATGGCACATATTGATTTATAGATTCTTAATGTCAAACGTTAACTGTACAACTCAAATATTGATCGATAACAAACGTGTTAAATACATAATAACAATAGCATTCTTTCAATTTCAATGATAAAATGCATAATTGATGATATTCTTTTTTTGTATATTATTTTTTACTTACTATTTTTACTCGCGTTCTCTAAATTAATATACATGTAATATACATGCGATCAAATCACCAAAGTAAACATGTGAAAGCATCCATAAATTAAAATATAAAACAAGAATAGAATATTATACAATCTAATACTTCATCATTAAGATTCGTTTCTCAATAAAAATATAATAGAGCTGACCTTGCACAATAGTTTAATATGGACACACATATAGATATACACGCACACTGTGTGTTTCAAGAGATATATTATAATTTAAGTATAATTTAATTATGTGCTTTATAATCTACTGTTGAAGAATCAAATAATCAACATATTGCTATCACCATTTTACAACTCGTTTGTAGCATGTTTTGCGGCAGTATAATAAATCTGAGGTGCGATATATACATATTCGTGACTTTTAATAATCTAAACTTCACTTATTAATGCATAATAGAAGTGAATATTGTGAATGTAGTTAACACGTTTTGATGCAAATTTACTTCATTGCAGATTTCAAATCCCAGAAGTATTCTCTATAGACTCTCATAATCACATGGCACATATTGATTTATAGATTCTTAATGTCAAACGTTAACTGTACAACTCAAATATTGATCGATAACAAACGTGTTAAATACATAATAACAATAGCATTCTTTCAATTTCAATGATAAAATGCATAATTGATGATATTCTTTTTTTGTATATTATTTTTTACTTACTATTTTTACTCGCGTTCTCTAAATTAATGTACATGTAATATACATGCGATCAAATCACCAAAGTAAACATGTGAAAGCATCCATAAATTAAAATATAAAACAAGAATAGAATATTATACAATCTAATACTTCATCATTAAGATTCGTTTCTCAATAAAAATATAATAGAGCTGACCTTGCACAATAGTTTAATATGGACACACATATAGATATACACGCACACTGTGTGTTTCAAGAGATATATTATAATTTAAGTATAATTTAATTATGTGCTTTATAATCTACTGTTGAAGAATCAAATAATCAACATATTGCTATCACCATTTTACAACTCGTTTGTAACATGTTTTGCGGCAGTATAATAAATCTGAGGTGCGATATATATATATATATATATATATGTAAATTTCTGGAATGTTTTTGCATAAAAAAAAAAATTATGAGTATTTATAAATTATTAATTTGTTTGAATCACATAGTTATAATGCGTCATAATAGATTATTTTATAAAATTAATCATCATAAAATTATTTAAGTGACAATGTAAAATAAGTGTATATCAGGAAAACAATATTTTATATATTGAGTTGAATGGAAAGTTCCTGCCGTTCTTTCCGTCTTCATCTGTTAGTAAAAAACGGCACGAACTTTCCGTTTAACCCAATATATATAATGATACGAATCGCGCACATTATTTCTTATTCTGTTTAAATAACGTCTAAGTAAAACATAAATATATATTAATCACAATATGCTTGACTTGACAAGAGATATATATTCTGCCCTTTTATATTATGTGTATAATCTATTAACGCATAAAAATAAAATAAAACATAAACTTAACAAAATGTAATGTATATCTATATAAATTGCCAATTTTATTACCTCCCATATGTAGAAATCTAGAAAAAATGTTTATTTTAATTCAAAGAAATAATTAAGCAAAAATCGGTTAAAAAGTTTGGAAGGTTCTATGTTGCAGTATCGCCTTCTTCCTGTTCGAGTCTGGAAGAACCACAAACGCGACATTTACAACATACAATACAAGGTGCCGCTAATAATAGCAAGGGCGATGCGACAAGTAGAAGTAGGCCAAAACCAGCAAATATCCCGATAACTTGCGTTCGATGCCATATCACGGACGCTCGTGAGTGTCCCAATTTATTCTTACATGGTCCCTTGTCATAATGTCGCAATAAAAAATCGTCCTACAATATGAACAAGTTTTAAAAATATCAATAAATTATATTTCTTTATCAGTATTTTACTTTATATACATATAGTGTACATATACTGTAAGTATATATTGTAATATATAAAGTACATATAATAATGAAATAATATTTCAAAAGTTTCTGTATATGTGTGTGTATATGTATATATAATATTAATCAATACAATTTTTTTTATCATTTTAGATACTCACATCCAAGGACGCTAAGCAGTACCAGCAAAACACATGTTTACATCTTTTGCACATCATTTGAGCACAACCTTCGTCCTTTTCTATCGGTACGGAACACATGGGACAACATTTAATGTGATCACTACCAAACGGTATTCCTAACGGAAGTTCTGAACAGGGTCCATTGTGCCAAGGCTCGCGACATATTGAACAAAAATTTGTGGAACAGTTGGGACAGTGAACAGAGCCTAAAGGGGTGCTGTTTCCACCATTACCGTTTATCGAACATATTGTCTCACAACCCGCTCGTGGACACCATGCACGTCCTTTGTCCATCGATACATCTAAACACATACAATGTTAATCATTGTAATTTATAATATGTATAAGTAATATGATAGATCATATATCCCTTTCACAGAAGACTACATTTGCATTGAACTGAAAAAATCTAAGATTGCCGCATCACTTACCTCTGTTCAAACGAAACTTGCAATGTTTTTCCATAAGTTCTACACTGACAAGACCCGATATCTCTTTCAAAGATAGTATTGCGCCGTGATCACATTGAGCATCGGGACAACTAATTTCGTACGCACCTTCCTCAATTTCAAATTCTACATAGGCACGCATGCACTAAAAATTATTGAAAAATAGAAATATCGATATTATTTTTTGTATGTATAGCAAAATGCACGCATATTTTTTTCAAAAAATAATTCCTTATAGAAATTTTGACTTACATCTTTACAATAGGAACAACCGCATCCCTCAATCTTAAATGTTTTGGAGAGAGAGATATCGACAAGACATAATTTACAAAATATTCGTCCAATTGTTTGTTGCGAACCTGCAGGAACGAAATTACCAGCAGCCAAGCTGTAACGTGAGCTAGATGCCAGGGATAACAAACTGGAACAGCGAGAGCATACTCTACTACGATTTATCGGTCTTCCTTCCAGAGCTGAGGTACTTAATCCCACAGCGGTTTCGCATTTTCTCAGGGCGCCAGGACCCAGGCTCATCCAGCTGCCACCTCGTGCTTCCAGGCTTGCGCTGCTTTCAGGTCGCAGGAGGGGCGCGTCTACCTCTTTACCAAGCGCATTTCTCTCTGTCAAGGAGAGATTCACCACGCTGGCTTCCTTGCGTATCAGAGGTAGCTTGATGCCGCTAAATTTAGCCTTGTCGATCTTCTTGGAATTAACCGCGATCTTGGTGGGCGGATTGACGGAAGTCACCGAACTTGTCGCGGTACCCATATCAGTTAGCGGAGCTCGTCTTACGACGAGCGAGTGTAGGCTAGGCATCCCCTGTAGATCGGTGCCGGTTACAAACGACGAGGATTGCGTTCGCCGATCTCCTCGCGGCGGAGAGCTCCCTTCCGCGCTCGTCGTCGTTTGCTCACCGCGGACGATAACAGAACGCATGAACTCGGATAATCATGTGTACATGACGAACGAGACGGTGCACCCCAGAGTTGCACAAACATCGATAGATCTTTACGCTGTCCGTCATAATCTTCGACATTCAACCTTATCTCATGCACATAATTCTAGGTGCGCGTTAAGCTTTAAAAAAAAAAAATCACGTTTGACAAACATTTTTAACTCCGGTTATGTCGAATTTTCACTTTTCGCGTATCCGTATCGCGAAATTGACGTTATTATATTTGTCACGGAATTATATCCCGCGAGACGAGCATCCTCGGATTATTAGATATTAGACGTACACGAAACAGTCACAACAGCTGATCGCGTTCGCCGTCTCGAGGACGGGCGAATTATTGTCACGTAAAACGACGTTGTACGAGGACGCCGTACATCACCTGATCACGGAATGCGGCAGTTTCTCAACGACGACGGTCCTACTGTCGCAGCGAGACGCAAACACAACGCGGATATCGTCGCAGAAATACGATGTGCTGCCCAGCAGCCCAGCTTCTCTCTCGTGCTGATGCGATCGCTAACTAATGATCGTCACACGCGATCGTCCCAGACGTCGCTCGCCGCTTTCACTATATTTCACGGCACATGAAACGCGTGTCCCACTCTCCCACGTCGTGTCGCCTATATCAACGCGCCGCGGTCTTCGCCAACATTTTTGCCATCGCCGTCGCGTACGCTATCGCGTATATATATATATATATATATATATGCGTGTACGTGCACACACATTGCGCGGCACGTTCATAAATTATCCGATTCGCGATACGAGCGCTTCCGCCCCCGCTTCCTCATTCGTTTTTCTTCTCGTCGAGCGTGCGAGGATGAGGAGCAGCCAAGAGACTAGCGGAGAATACCGTAGTCGCGACCGCAACTTATCTTCGCAATTAGCAGTAGCGAGATTGTTTTTGTTTTGACGTAACATTACATCCTGCGTGTGACTCACTTAGCGCATACCGGACACGCAGAGAAATTCTAGAAGGAGGCAAGATATATACGTGACAACAGAACAAAGATTTCGCGGAAGAAGAGCCTACGAAAGCGCAATTTCGAAACTAGTGACGTTTCCGTCAAATTCCCGTCGAGAGCGACTCGATGTCGTAGATGTCTGTCGTCTGTCTATCTAGTTGTAATTTCCACAGTACTTTCTGCACTTTGCCTCCCTCCACCCCTTTCTGTTTTTCCCTTTTTCTTCTCTCACTCTCTCTTTTAAAAGCTTGAATTGACTTGAATGTATACCTGTCTCTCAATTGAATTCTTCATGTATTCTAAATTTTTATTTTAGATTAATAATACTGATATATTCTAAATCAATATTTGCCTTTATAACTAATAGTGGAGTGAGAATATTTGATGAAGTATTTATCAGTTAAGACTATACTCACGCACGTGCACAATTGAAAAATATACAAGATTAATACAAAACTAAAAAGTGCAACAAAAAAAATAAGTTACGAGAAAGTTAGTTGAACAGTTTATTCTTCATATAAATACAAAAAAGATTAATTTTACTATTTATTTTATCATGGGACAGAGAGATGAAGTTCATTAATTTAAATTTAATCTATATCATGTACAAATACACTTGTATAATCTACTTATAATTAATAATAGTACATATACACTTTGATATATTTACATATGAATGATTAACATAACTCGTTTATTAAAAGATATTTTTCCCTATGATGCATATTAGCATTATAATACACATACAAATTTAATTGTATAAAAATTGAGCAACTTATATCATTCTTTTTTTCTCAGAATAACAAATAACAGTCAATTATTCTGAATTTATTACTGGAAAGTACCAGCTTGAAAAGTATATCATCATAGAATGAACGAAAGTTAAATAATAATTAAATTTAGTTAGTACCTCTTATTCATGTTTTAAAAAAACAATGTGAAAAAATTTTCAATCTTATGTTAATAAAAATAGCTAAAACTTGACTGGAAGCTAAACGCGGTATACCACTTGATAGTTGGCACTAAATATTATTGAATGCTGAGCGGAAAACAATGACTGAGAGTAAGGCAATTTTAGTACAAAGTAAAGAATGTATATTGATCATTACATAACTGTTATTATTTCATAAGAAAGTAAGATGTGATAGTCCATAGACTATGTTGCCAAAAAAATATTGCAAAATAGTTAATATCCAAAAATATTCTTCATTTTGTACTACAATTAGCTCCGTTTTGTCATTATCTTTCACTTAGTGTTTATTGGTGCTTATCATGTTCCAACTCTCAACCAGACTTTAATGATAACACATTCTTTTGCAGTCTTCAAGTAATATTACATATAATCATGAAGTTGCATGAAATTTTTTGACTAGATTTCCTGTAATGGTAATTAAAAAGCATAGATATTAAAATAATTCCGTGAATTCATGTTATAAATGAACAACAAAAAAATTATTATATATAGATGTAACATCAATCCTAGTATTTTAATATATGAAAAGAATCAGATATCTATTATGAAGTTAGGAATATTATGTATACATTATACATGTGTAATATTGGAAGCATTTACAGGAGTAATATCAATGGGAGCAATTATTTAATTCAAATTCAAGAATCCAAAATAGATATTAATCGAATTACTGCCGAATTAGAGCTGGTGTAATATGCCATGTTATTGTGAGATGGTCTACAGACTATTTGTATCACAATTACGCATTGAACGCAGAAGTAAAAAATAATGGATCAGAATTGGAGATCACAAGACTTAACACATCTTTTTTCCTTTACAGAGAGATATTACCAGGTATACTATACTGTCCTTTTCTAGAATGTGTATCGACCGCCCTGACCGCAAAATAATAATTGTTACCCTCAGAAAACTGTAAGAAGAATATTATCTCGTTTAATATCTCATAGATTCCAAATGATTTTAGGAGATCCACTTTATTCTCTTCGTGACATTACATTTTTTTACTGACATTATTGATTTACCTGAGTCAAGGTACACGCCATAGGTAATGGCAGCGCCCGCACATCTCCCACTTTTTTCCACAACGATGTATTAGGATTTACACCAGTAATTTCTTGGTATGCGTACAATTGGTAACTAGCAATATCCGCATATTTATCTGACAGATTCATGTTCCAAGATAATACTATACCTATTAACATGACATTGACACCATATTAAGAATTTCTTAACTTAAAACTAGAATCTAATCACATTTATATAAAATTGGGAAATATTTATAGTATACCATTTGAGACTTTTGAAATCTTTAACGATGGAGCTGGCGGTGGAAGTTTCCAGCCAGGTGTCATTGTGTAGCTTGGAGTATCCGGCAATGGTGCAGGATGCTGAAGTAAAATAGCAATAAAATTATTGTTTTAATAAATAAATGTTATAAACAATTATTCTAATATCATTCCTGCAAAATAATATAATAAATTCTATAACAAATTGTTAACATATTATGTGCACACATACACATACACACACACACAATATGCTTTTTAAAATGTAATTTGATTACCTGTCTTATAAGTAACAGTTGAAAAAGGTGGTCTGCATGTCGTCACTGGTCGGATCTAAAAAATATTCGAATTTCTTGTATAGCAATAATTCATAGAATTCAAAAATTCTGTCATCAGTACAGATTTGCAGGAAAAAAAACAAAATTGCTGCAAAGTACTGACCTGTACTTGCTGATTAGTAGTATTTGATGTTATTAGAACTTGTCTTGGTGTACCTGCACTACTTTGCATCACATACGCCAGCCTGGGCGAATTCATATTATTCTAAAAAGAAAAGAATATATATTCATAAGTTTCTATTCTTTTCTCAATATTATGGTATCAACATATATATGAAATAAGAACAAAATGCTTACTACAAGGGCAGTTGTTGGTGGCTGGTTAGGTGTTATCACTTTTATACTAGCCGGTTGCGTCGTAATTGCTACATTTGCTGGTATTGTTTGTATTACCCTTTGAAAGGATTGTGTATATTTCGGCGTATTCATTTGTTGCTCTAACATAGAGGTTGTAGTTATAGCCGTAACTTTTATGTTTGCTGCTATAATATATAAAATTTGCCATATTAGAAAGTTATGAAAGATTATGGAAATTTTATATTTATTATTACTATCTCTATCATGATGAAGACATTATTCTTAAGGCATGATTTATATATATATATTACATTTATATGTGCACAGAGAATGGTAAACTTACATTTATTCTTTTCTTCTTCATCTGTAAGATCAATAAGATCGCTATTTTTTGACTTTGAAGTTATCACTGTTGGACGATTTATTTGATTTTGTATTTTACCATTTAAAACAATAGCTTGTTGTGGTTGTGGCTGAATCTGTTGTTGTGGCTGCAAAATTTGCATAATTAAATTAATATGAAACAATACGCGATATTATATATACTTAAAATATTGTGTTTAGTTGTGCGGATATTTATTGAAATAAGTCTCACAGCAGATAAAATAGGCTGAATGCCGGTAGATTGGCTAGACAATGTTAGCGTATGAGAGGATTCCAAAGGTTTAGCAACAACTAAAGCCGCCGGTGTCACAGGAATAAGAGGTGCCGTTTGTATCGGGCTCTGTGCAATTGTAGGAGTTGATGTAGTCACTACAGGTCGGGGCGATCTTGTTTTGATTCCACTGCGTCTTGTTGCATTATTATTTGACTCAGCTGCTGAGGAACTAACATTGCTCGGAGCGTTTGCAGGTTTAACATGCGAAGTTTGTTGTACCTGCCGTAAACTCTGTAATCCATGTTCCTATTGAATAGCAGTTTATCATTATACAATATTCATATAATATTCATTGAATATCATATGTAAATATATTAGGAATCATATCTCGTGATAAATACCGTTATGAAATTGACTTGTAAGCCTACGGATCTATTTATTTTTATAGGTGCGATAGACTTGTCAGGATTCGCACGACGGTCTTTTGTGTTACGCTTCACAACCTCTTCAAAATCTCTCACTTGCTTTGTTAATTGCTGTAGTTTTGTACGCATTACTTCCTGATATTTCTCCGATATGCGAGCTTGCTCTCTGAGTTGTCCAATTTCACTATGCATCGTGATTGTTTCGGCAATCTTCTGAATTAGGAGTTCTTCCAATTCCTTAAGCAAATCACCGATTATAACAATAAGATATGCAAAGCAATTGTGTTTTGCCAAAATAAATATACATATTGCAAACTATTAAGAGATAGTTTATTCTGAAATATACTTTTACCTCCTGTGTAAGTTTCGGTAATTTTTCTTTGATATCCCTTTGGAAAAATTTCTTAACAAAAGCTAATTTTGTAATATCATTCTTTTCCTCAGACTTGGTACTCATTTTCACTTTCTTAACACCATTAAAAATCTCATTGTCCGAACAATTGCGTTTTAATGAAAGCGGTGACGCAGGACGTACATCCTGATTCAATTTGTGATTCACTGTTACAAGTTGTTCTGTACTAGAATCACTAGAATCGCTATCACTAACATTAAGATACTTTTTTCTGATTATCTCCTCTGCATTTCTAGCCGTTCTCCTCTTTTGTCGTCCGCTCTCCTTTTTTTCTGTAATAATAAAATGCAAAAATAATTTAATATGTGTATATTAAAGTATATATAGTAAAAAATATAAACTATAATTAAAATATTTTACATATAATAGCAAAAGCACATATAGACTTCAGAAATAATTTATTTTACCAAATATATTTTCTTGTAGTTAAAATATTGATAGAGTATAATATCCTAAAAAATATATAGACATTTATAAAGTAATATTAGAACATTAATTCTATATAGAACTGTTAGGAGAGATTTTAATCAGGTTTTCTCTGTTCTATTTTTTCTTCCTTTTCTTTCTTTTCTGTAAAAACTATACGAATCACATTTTATTTCCAATGTAAAATATTTCCTACCTTGCTTGTCTTCTTCAACACAATCTTCTACTGTATTGTTTGCTTTTTTTGATCGTTTTCTTTTTGCAGCATTTATATTTTTATTCTCGTTATTAGAATTTTCTACATCAACAGATTCTAATAAAATCTTTTGTAATGTAGAGTTATTATTTATAATTTGCATTACAGGTTTATTAATATCACGATCTTCGTTCGTTACTTCTTTACCGTCTTTTACACTGGGCAAATTATTTTGATTTTGTACCAATAAAATACTCGTTTCTTTTTCCACAGGTTGTATCTCTGATGCGTTTTTGTTTTGTATTGCATCCTCGTGTTCTGAGTTTCTATTTTTACTTTTATGTTCAACATAATCTTTAGGAGGTGATGAATCATCAAAAATAGCGGATTTGGTTGAATCCATAGATCCAATAGATATATCTTGACTATTATTAATTTCGACAAATGGGCTTTTTACATAGTGATGATTATCATCATTAAAAACCTTATCTACTACTTTGTCGCTTAAATTATCATCATTACTGTTAGAAACAATTGCAAGTGTAGACAATCTTTCACTATTATAAACCTGAACTTTAGCGGAATCTATAATAGGACCATTACTGTCTACATTATCCAATTTATTTAGCTCACAAGTATTTGTGGTATTTATTTCTTTATGATCACTGCCTGTCTCTTTTAAATTATCATTACTGTGAGTTATTGGTTCTGCATTTTGAAGATTATTTATTTGTATATAATTTTTTGTAGATAAATTATCAGTTCCTAATGCTATATACTGTTCAGATGCTGAATTTGAACATTCAATGCTTGCGACAGTAATTTTTAAATCTTTATTAGACTTGAAAGTACACTTTTCATTGGATGCACTAACAGTCATACTGCTATTTTCAGAATTACATATATTATCTTGTATTCGTTTGTTTTCTGATGTATCACCTAAGGATAATGCTGAATTTTGGGAAGCCTTTATTGCTGCAACAAATTTTTATGATGTAATCAATTTCGTTTGTTTCAAAGATATTGCCTAATATAAAAGCAATTGTATTAATCCAGTTTAGGAAATTTTCATTAATATTAGAAAAATAATTTAGTTTGATGATTATTTGTAATTTTTGTCATCCATGAAAATATTACCTGAGTTATGCTTCTGCTCCAATTTTCCATTATCAGGCTTGTCAACTTCTTCGACAATCTGTTGTATGTCAGAGCATAATTCTTTTTCTGTGATTATATCTACAGATTCTGCAAAAAAAAAAAAGTATTGATATCTATAAAGATTTTTAAAAATACTTAAATTGTACTATATTATGTTAAATTAAACATAATAAGAAAAGATATACATATATTAAAAAAAGATTCATCTAGAATTTAATTAGTAATCTATTAAATAATAGAATTTTAAGTCTTACAAATAAAAAATAGTTATATACCAGTTTTTCTATTCTGCAATTTAAATTCTGTAATATTCGTAGAGTTTGTTGTATTATCTTCTTGTTCCATATCCTCATCATCAGATAATCTTAAGCGCAAGCTATCATCAGACAGTACATCTTCATCCTCTCCTTCTTCTTCTGCACCAAATAATAGCTCTTCTTCCCTCTCTTTTGATAGTTCATTGTCAATAGTATCAATAGTAATTTCATTTGATAGTTCAATATTGATTCTATCGATACAAGAGATTGTGGAACTAGATTCTGAATTATGCGCTATTCCAGTTTGTGCTTTCTCCATTACAAGTACAGTAAAAATCACTGCAATTATATTTATCTTGCCAATTAAATGTTGTTCAATCAATAATGAGGAACTGCATGCGAAGTATATATATAATAAAATAATACAATTTAAGAGATAAACGAGTACATTCTTTTTTCGCTTTATTTGTTGAATGATCACGCGAGTGCTAAGCATATATACATATATATTTAACGGTAATTTCTATCAATGTCAATTGTACGCGAGAAAATATCGTTAAATACCAATAAACAAATCGTAAAAAAATAGCGAATTATAAAGTCGGTGTCGTTATAGCTGAGGCATTTTCTTGTTTTGTAAAGTAATCTTTACATATAAAATTTATTTTTAAACACAAAAGTAGTAAAATATTAACATATTTTAAAATGTAATAGAAAGAAGAGGGAGAAGAGCAAATAGTTTCGATGTATGGAATTTTGAATAACAACTCAGATATATAATTCTATTAGAGAAATAAATAAAAGAAAATACAAATTTTGCAAAATGTCTCTTTAAGTATTATCGAAAGTTAGAAAGGTTACAAACCTAAGATTTGAGCATATAATGCTATCAGTAGTAATTAGTTTGTCAAAACATGATTGATGGCAAGAATCCAAGCAGATCTTATACATCATAATTTTTCAATAGTTTGATAGCAAAATCGAGCACAATTTGTGTTTTACAAATTCTACTTGGTTTCTGCTGCCATTTTGTTGTTAGGTTATGTCGATAGGTTCTATCTATAGAATACGAGCATATCGTGATGTCAATCTGTTAAACCATTTTGATAGAATCTAACAAACTGCCGACATATGTACTATTAACATTATGTTATACTGAGAATATTTCTCGTGTGAATTTCGAGTAAAGTGTAATTTTTTGAACATTAACTGTATTATATGCTTAAAAAGTGTAGAAATGTGGGAATGTAGAATGTTATTGGAATACATTTTCTATGCGAAAAACGATAAGTTTGAGACCGACCGAAAATATTGCTCAAAAAATCTGCCTTATATTTAAAATCACCGTCTCTTCAAAAATTTTTTTTTCTTTTTATATATATTTAATTTCTTCCTTTTTTAGAACATCTCTTTTTTTTTAGAGGGAAGAGAAAATAATACATTTCTTGTTTAACATTTTAATAATAATTATTATATCTTTCATTTTCAATAGTAAATATAGTATAGAAATTATCAACTAAAGAGTATCTGAACATTCTGACATTTACTGTACACACGCACGCGCGCGCGCGTGAACTTCATTCTGGATCGATGCTTATCGCGCGGGGTCACTATTTTATTGGATATATGATTGGCGCATAAGTTCAACATGTCCCGATAAAACTAAATAAAACGGGAAGTTTTTCTCCATTTATAAGATGTGTGTACAAATTATCACACATTGTTCAGGGAGATTGAATAACGAAATCAGGCCCTGGGTAGAGGGCCAAGGGCCCCGACCCATCGGCATACCGAGCTAAAAGATGGCGGATAGAGAAAGCATTTCTGATGATTATAATAAGCAAGCAACTATGTACTTGACATTTGAAGACGAAATTGTTACGTATTTTCAACATAATTTCGTCAACATGGCATTTTTAAGGATCCAGTAATATTGGCGAATTATTATATATATAACTAAAAAGATTAGGTAAAAAAACGCATTTATCTACGTGAAATCACTTTAAGGTTATCACCTTCAAAATCATGCCGTTTAAAAAAGGGCAAATCGTTTCGTGTTGGCATTAAAGGTTATGAAAACCGAGAATACACAAGCTGGTTACGCTTCATTGAATCATTTATTCAACACCAAAAAGGCGCTACGAAACGAACAGCGACACTTCGATCGACAATAAAACGGTTACCGAACGATTCGTGAACATCGTTATCCCATTGCTCTACGTATCACCAGTATTTTCAAACACAAATACGAATTAAAGAAACCGCGCGAACTGGTCTCGGTGTCATCGACAGGTTTGTGAATCGAGCGTGGAATACATTATACTTAGGCCCCGAGATTCGTTCCGAAGATGGCCGAATGTACACGAAGCATCGGAAAATGCTGCACAAAATGCGCTTGTGATGTCACGATTTGCTGCGCAGTAACGAAAACTTCGTTTTTAACCAGCACGGATTAATCGCATTTTAGTGATTATTCGCAAAAAAATTCGCCATTTTTATTTATATCTATCTGGAAGAATTATAAAAAATGCATTGTTAATTTTTTAATAATTTCACTCTTTTTTTTCCATCACGTGATGTCGTATCCATGTATTTTTAGTCACTGTATTCACACACTTTATTGCTTTCTGATCATATTTTCAGTCATTATCATTTTATATCATATGTTTATCAGATAGCATTTTGCATAACTGTTTCATATAGTCATTATACGTTATTACCATTATATATATATGGTACACTTTTCATTTATAAGGTCATTGAACCCTATTAAGCAATTAATTTTTCGATAAAATGTAACATAATCCGTTGTTCATATGAGATCTTTCAGCAATGCATATATAGCCTTTGTCGCGGAGAGAGATTCGTTTTATTGAGCAATTGATGAACAGTCCCCTCTCTTCCTTCCTCAACGCACCAATGGCAGAATCAATGGTGGGAGAAAAGACGTGATTCTTCGTCGTATTGTAGGACAACCGATTTTCATTGGCCTATTTCGATCTTAAGTCTGATATTTGATCGTAATATGGATTCTTAACTTGATCTCGAGAAATGTTAATATTTTTTGTTTAACTCTATTTAATCATTTTCATATTTGTATATGTGTCTGGTAAACAGATGTCGATATTGTAGAAATATCATATTGTTAATTAATAAAATTTAATTTTTACATAATATAAATCAATAGTCATGTTTCTCCAATTGGAGGACTTCTTACAAATCAAACACGATCAGGGCTGGCCTTAGCATCGATGGCGCCCGATGCGAGGATACAAATTAACACTCTCTTCCTTCTCTTCTGTGTGTTAAATATTATTTAGTTAACATTTTTTGACCAGCAAAAAGGAAAAGAATTTCTCTCTAATTTAGTTCAGATTCAGTAAAATAAATGATATCTTCAATAAAGAATATCATATAAAAGAGTGCAATTCTAATGTGAGATCTACACACACTTTATATTTTTTAAAATCTTTTTTATTTATTCTCTAAGAGGAATTCTCGGCATTTCGAATCCGGCTTCGCCCTAATTCGGCATCAATTCTCCCCTCCGGAACTCGACATTCCACAGGAGCGCCACTTTCAAAAACTCAATATTGACTACTGTTACACGTCACCTTTAATCGGGTTTAAAAACATCCAGTTGTAAAACTGGCCAATTACAGCTATTCCTCTGAAAAATGGAATGACCGTGATTGGCCAGCCTTAGAATTACGGATGTTATTAAACCCGATTAGGGGTGATGTGTAAACGTAATCATTGGCTGCATTCAGCGGATTCAACAGTTTTGGGTAACAATCGAACGTGATTGGTTCTTACTTTTAACATCCGTAGTTGTGAAACTGGCCAATCACAGCTATTCCTCTGAAGAATGGAATGACTGTGATTGGCCAGCCTTAGAATTACGGATGTTATTAAACCCGATTAGGGGTGATGTGTAAACGTAATCATTGGCTGCATTCAGCGGATTCAACAGTTTTGGGTAACAATCGAACGTGATTGGTTCTTACTTTTAGAACTGACACATCAACGTCGAGTGTTGACAAAATAATGCTCAACTGTTGAATCCGCTGAATGTAGCAAATTTTATATAAAAAAAAGTAAAAGATATTTTGAAAACCACAAAACTTTTGTAAATTGCTATTATTCATCTATTGTGTGGAGAGGGGGGGCGCGTGCGTGTATGTGTGTGTTCTGCAGCCAGAACAGCCTCATGCAGCTGACATCATATATCAAAATAACATTAGAGAAAAACAAGAAAATACATAACTTATTCTTTTGTAACAATCACTTATAAATAAATATTACTTTATGGTGTTATCAAATAACTTTGTAATTTCAAATAAGATAATTTATTTACAATTACATTTTATTTTGCAAAAAATAAGATGACTCAATATTCATAATTGTTTTGTAGCAGAAATATTCGTAAAAAAATACATCATAAAAATACCTGCCATTTTCCATTTTAAACAATAATTTTTGAATTATCTAAATATAAAATTTGAATAATGATCAGCCATAATTATGCAATCATATGTCTATGAAATATGCCTATACAGCGTTTTTATCAACTCCAAGTTACTATAGTCTACTGATCGCAAAAGTGGGCGTTCACTACACGCGCTAGAATTTGCGCAATTCGCAGACTGGCTCGATTTAACCTCGGTTCATGGTTAAACGGTAAATTCCTTAGATTTTCAAAACTAATCTTTGCAATAGATAATAGCAAATACTCTCATCATTTAGTTTTAGACAAACTATTCTGCTACAATGTTAACAAATATAAAAACATAGTGCATAATGTAAAAAATTAAAAAAATTTTCGTGTTTTATAAAAATAGTAACTTCTTGTAAAATTAAAATATATATTAAAATTTGTTAAGAATCTAATAATCATAAGAATGTTCAAAAATATAATTAACTGTGTTATATAATTTTAAGTGAAGAATCAACTGAACAAGTAGTGCCATCTGTTGCTACTTTTACCTCAACGACAAATTGATACTATGTCGTCACGCAACAATATTAAAAAATAGTTTTTCGATTTATTGTATTTAAGTTATAGTTATTATCTTATTGTCAAAGATAAAATTCTACGATATAATTGATTATAACAAATTAATATTATTGTCTAGTGCAATACAGAAGTAGTACCAAATAAATATTCCAGAAATATGCTTATTATAGATTGATATTTTTTCTGCAAAACTTATATAAAACATAAAAAAATTTATTTCAAGAAATGCATTTTCTACTCTATTTGGTCTATCTTTGATACATATTAGAATGTCGGGATATATATACATATAAAAATATAAAATTGCGATAAACGCAAAAGGTTATGAATTGCGTTCATAACCTTCATAAAAAAAACGTTATGCTCGTAATGATAAATATAAATCTATCTACAGTTCTCTCTATAAAAAAATAGAGTTACTTGAATGAAAAAGATGTTATAATCATTTAATGTTATACACGCATTCGAATCGGTCGATGTCATTTCGGTCACGGCATTATATTATCGGGAGACAACATAATTCGTAAATAAAAATAATTGAATAGAATAAAGCTAAATAAAGAAATAGTGTTTTATTAGAGATTGTAATATACATAGATCTAATAAAATCTCATCAAATTGTACCAAAATATTTGCAAAATTTCGTTAAATTGTTGTACACATGTCTATATTATTGATTTATGATACTAGTACGACAACGTATGATATAAAGAATGTGTGTGTGAATTATCATTTAAAAAATTTCATAATCTCCTTTAAATCAATGAAATCATTTATAGAAGAAACATTAACAAAATGGCGTATATAATGCTATCTAAAATGGTGCCTTTGCTATGTTAAAACATCTTTATATAACAATACTTTTGTGTAAATTTGGGTCTTAAGGCCCAAATCCTAATTCAATATATGGTGAATTACCATGAATTATTTTGAGAAAGTTAAATAAAAAATAATTTAATTCAGATAAACTGAGAAGGGGAAACTTAATCATTTAACCTTAAACATCAAAACATAGACTACCTAACCTCTCCCTCTCTAAATAATTTTTCAAACATCTTAAAAAACTTAACATATAGTATTAATACTTTTTAAGTTATATCAAATAAAATTCCGATAAGATGATTGTCGACTTAATGATTTGAATATCATGAGTTAAATACTAATTTCTCGGTGAAAAATCCAATGTAGAAGACCCAAACGACATTAAGATATTAGAATGATGATAATTGATGAACTTACGTTATATTATTGCGTGGAAAGGTTTCGGGCAATGGTGTATATACTTTTCGCCACGTGAAAACAAGTTATACTTATCATAAATATGCTAGAATGGAACTACACTTTTGATACTTGACCATCGAATATAACGTTGCAACGCCGCAATCTAAACAAGCGACTTCGGCAACGTTGCCAACGCTTTTCCTACCGTTACTTCACCTAACGTTACATTATATTAACGTGGGGGAAATGCAGCAAAATTACAATGAATTATAAATATATACGTATATATTTATCGCGAATCTGAGATTTAGCGAAAGATGGAATATCAAAGTGTAAAAATATTTATAAATCATTAATAAACACATATCCAAAATTTATCGACGTACATCGTATACATACACATCGTTATATATTTCACATAAAATCTCATTTGCGCATGCGCGATGTCACCTGAATTCCCCGACCAACAATTTTAGCCGCATCACTTCTTTCTTTCTTGGTCGGAAACCTTACACTTACACAAAATTATTCTCTTTTTGTTGTTATAGTTATAGGTATGAAAATCTAATACAAGCAGTCGTTACACCGCAAATCTGATAAGTAATATGTAAGTATATCAAAATGTATTTTATTAAGAATAAGAATTCATTATCACGAATTATTGTCACTATAAGTGTACCTTGATTGTATACAAAAAAATATGATATTTTTATAAAATAACTTAGTAATTAAAATATTAATAGTATATAAATAAGGTGTTTAAGATTACGTTATATATAGTATTATTATTATTTCAAAACAACAAAATATAACAAGATAATAATTCAATTTTTCAGTATTGGAATATATAAAAGAGAAGTATAGTCACTTATATGGTGGGACATCCTGGTATATTTAATATACACGTATATATATTTTATAATATTCAGGATGTTCCGTCATAAAAGTGATTACTTCTCTTTTTATCTCTCTCTTTCTCTCTCTCTTTTATAATAAGAGAGATAGACTATATAGTAAATAACATATATCAAATTAAATTATTCAAATTGAACTCTGTTGTAAGTATAATGATTGCTTACACACACAAAAGCTACCTCTCTGTGTTAAGTAACGGAGAAGAAGTATGCATAATTTTTTTATGACATTGTGGAGATATTTTGATATAATAAAAGCGTTGTTTGAATCGAATATAACGATGTATGTGATTTTATGTAATTATTTCACGAATTATACGTTATGTAAATTGTGCACGTGATCGAAATGATATAATATTTCTCTTCACTTGTGTTTTGAAATAAGAATGGCATCTGAAAAGCAATGTTAAAAATAAAGAGATTTTGTTTGCTTTAAATGACTCAAATATATGTATATGGAGGTTTTTAACACTTATAGTTTATTTAAATAAATCGTATATCGACCGAGTAAAAGTTACTAGAGTACAGCCAGCATCAAAAGTTAATGGAAATACGACTTTTACTTTATATATCTGAAATGCGATACTTATAGTAGAATATTTATTGTTTTGTTATTAATGTATAATGTTTATAACATACATGATAAACTAAAAAGTTAACAAGTAAGAGAAATTAAGATGGATTTTTTTTTTTTTATACGGGGCAGCACATCGATTTCGTGTACTGCGCGATAGGAGTCAAAAAAAAAAAAAAAAAAAAAAAAAAAACTTTCTTATAATTCTTATTAATTGAGATTCATTGCAAACTCTTGTGTTATTATGTTCAACTTTGTTGAGTGAACGACATTCTATTTCAAAAAATTTTTTAAATAAACCAATCCAATTTTTCT